CAGCTATCATGAGCTGATCGGTCTGGATGATACTTGTATCGGCCAAGACGATAAGTTCAATTCAGAAAGAATCAGCCGCCATGATCAGATTAGGTATTCATTATTTTAGGAAATCGGTCAGGACGATATATACATCATCCAGAACGATCTAACCACTAGAAATCCAGTGTGTTCTTTCCTTATTACTTCCGCATTTAATTTTTGCATTTGGTTTTTATTGTGGTGATATTGTTTTTCGTTTATGTTTTGATTTAAAGATTATTCTTTTCAAATTCACCTCTCTCTTTGTTATCCTTGGGACAGTTCATAAGGGCTTAACATCCCTAACAAACTTTTAAGTTGTATCAGATCACTTTTCTAGTGTCATTTGAGCACTTTCAAGTGGTATCAGAGCAGGATTTATAAAATAAGTTTTTAAAAGCTTTTGAATTTCGATCCATGGCTAATTTTTCAAATCATAATATTACGGAAGGATATTCAATCACCAGACCACCTTTATTTGAAATTTATTACTTTTGATTTTTGAAAAATTCGCATGACTACTTTCTAGCAATCGATTGATTTTTGCATGTGGCATATGATTTTAACTGGTTATTCATCACTGTCACGTATTGTTAATGGAGTTAAAATTTATATTCCTTTTAATCAATGGAATAGGGAAGAACAAGTAAATGCTCAATTGAATACAAAATCTTTAAAATGCTTTTTATGAGCTTTAAATTCTAATGATTTTATGTTACGATCCACGTGCACTACTGGTAAGGAAGTTTGGGATAAACTATACACCATATACGAAGGCACTTGTGAAATTAAGCAATCCAAGTGGAATATGTTATTGCATGATTTTGAACTATTTTCCATTAAACCTTTTGAAACGATCTTAGACATGTATACCTGGTTCATTCAAATTGTAACATCATTGCATGCCTTAGGAAAATAATATTCAAATTTTGAAAAAGTTAACAAAATTCTTAGCCGTTTACTTGAAAAATTTGATGCCAAAGTTGTTGCTATTTGTGAATCAAAAGATTTGAATGATTATTCTATTGATAATTTGATTGAATCACTCATTGCCTACGAGCAAAGTTTGGGTCAAAGTCTTTTGGATGTAGGTGAAACGATTGTTCTAAAAGCTGGAGAAACAGAAAGAGATAGCTTAGTTGGTGACGAATGCAATGACTTGTCAAGAAAATCACAAAGCTCACCAAATATAAGCAAAATTGGAAAAAGGGATAAATGGTAAGAATGTTCATATTCCTTCTGATGTTATTTGCTTTCGATGTAGGAAGCCTGGACATATAAAAAATCACTGCTCAAATTTAAAAATTCTTCCTACGAAAAAAAAGGGCAAGGCGAAGCAAAATTTAAACTAAGAAAATAATGAAAGTCAAAAATTCTCGTGGGCATATCTAGTTCCTGAAGAATCTGACCAGGAGAGAGATAATGGTTAAAAGCCTTTCGTATTTTTGTGTTGTGTTTTTGTTTTTATGTTTTTCATTTTTATTTTATGTTTTTGTTTTGTTTATTCTTTGACATTTTTGTGAAAGTTTGTCTCTGATCAACACACACATTCACTTTTCTAAAAATGAAAAATCTACTTCCTATTTTTTTTTGAAATCTTTGGTATGTTGTGTTTGGCTTATGTAAAACAGTCAAAGGAAGAAAACTCATGTTTTTGACTCTCAATCTCTATTTCCTAAAAGGGGTTATTCTACTTTTGATTTAAAATCTTTTTCATTTTTTAAATTATTCTTTGAAACTAAATTTATTTATCTCCCTACATTTTATTTATCGCATAGGGATCTTTTGCAAGTTGTTGAATCTAACTCATAATTTTCTTAATCAAGAATCTGCTTTATCAATAGGATATGTTTACTTTTATTTTTAGGACTTCAGAAAGTTAGCATATTAAAAAATTGGCCAATGATGCCAAAAAGAAAAGATGCGCAAAAATTGGCCAAGGAAGAAGGAAGGTTGTTTTCAAGGAAGAAATCCCAATCAAAATCAAATGATAAAGCTAAGTTAGCATAATAATCCGCTAACTTATTATAATTGTGGCTAACACAATTGAAGTTAACATTATTGAAGTTGCTAAAGAATAAGAGTTCTTCATCATCCAAGTTCTCTCTAACGTTCTTCGGTTTGCTATATAATTGCTGAAGAAATTGGAGAACATTCTTATTATCCCCTTCCACTATGATACCTTTTACTTCTCGTGTCCATCCTTGCCATTTTCCTTCAAGGCTATGAATGCTGAAAGTTCCATTCGTGCATTGTCCAATGCAGTTTTCTTCTCCCAAAAGCAAAGACAAACCTTCCTTTGTCATCTCTTACTACCCCACCGATATCAGCCATATAATTCTCTTTAAGTGTTGCATCCAGATTAATCTTTAACCACTCAAGTGGAGGAGGATGCCAATAATCTAAGAACAATCCTTCAGACCGATAAGCACCCTAGTGATCTGAGCGGTAAGTACTTTGTTTTGCTGAGCTATAGAAGCTTAAAATTGAAACAACAATCATTACATTACTGCTTCCAGTTTTTCCATGTTTAACCTTGCATCTATTATTCCAAACCATCCATAATAGTAATGCATATATCCTACTTTCATCACATCTTCCTTTGTTAATTTTCTGATTCCTTGTAAGAATTCTCTCCAATTACAAAAATTTGGAATTTTGAATCCCCATTCTCTTAACACCTTGCTAACTTTCACAAGTATTAAAAAATTAGACGTGACATGATAAAGGTCTTCAATCACCCCACATCCCATAGGATATAGGCATTTATCCAAAAGCTTTCTTCTAAAAAGAAAATCTTCAGTAGGAATAGCATCTCCACATAGCCGCCATAAAAATAGCTCCACCCGAGCATTAATCTTCAATTTATGAATCTATGTAAACAAATCCCTTGTCATAACTTCTTTAAGATTATCTTTCATCAATAAAGCTGAGATAGTTTTACCAGTAAACTGAAGCTTCAACTCCATGTGATCTTGAAATGCAGTATTAAAGATCTGTACTCCTTCAAAAATCTTCACAAGGTCTTCACCGAAGCATTGTCTAAGTTTCCTGAAATCCCATTTTCCATCCTCTATAAAATAATCAAGAGTGGAATTTTCATCATTAGAGCATCCTACAAAAGTTGGCCATTTAAGTAAACTTTTATCCAGAATCCATGTATCCTTTAATACATTAATATTATAACCATCTACTACTTTCCATCTTCCAAACTTTTTATGAGCTTTCCATCCACTGGTAATGATTTTCCATGAATTTGATCCTCCTTACTCCACCACCTTTCTCCATATTTAGCTATCAGGTTTCTATTCAACAATGTATTTGGTTTCTCAATGAGATTCCATGCAAACTTTTCTCTAAGTGGCCCAATTTTGGTTATTGTTGTTTGAAGACCCCATCTGCCCCTTTGCTTTGGTCTACATAACATTTCCCATGCCACATAATGCAAACTGTGGCTTCCATTCATTTTATTCTAGATGAAGTCTCTACATAATTTTTCCAACTCATTTAAAGTTCTCATAGGGACAAGAGAGTGAGAGATTAAGAAAACTGGTAAAGTGAGAAGAACAGATTGTACCAAACATAATCTTCCAGCTAATGACAAATATCTATTTCCCCACACATTTATTTTCTTAACTGTTTTATCCAACAGCATTTGAAAATCATCCTTTTTTATAATCTTATTAATGCAATTTTGATACCCAGGTATTCTAATTCTTCCACCATCTTGAATTTCAACAACTTTGATATTTGTCTCTTCCTCCTCCTCAACACCGATTTACCAAAAATCAAAGATAATTTTTTGTTGATTAATATTTTGCCTGGTCCATATGCAGTAGTTTTTCACCATGTTCCTTATCTTCCTAACATTTTTCAATTTTGTATCTAAAAACAACAACACATCATCTGCGTACACAAGATGGTTAATCCTTGGAGCATTAGCACAAATTTTGATTCCCAAATCCATTCCTCAGCTATAAAAAAACATTTGTTAATAGCTGAGAGAATATAATAAACAAGAATGGAGAGAGTGGGCATCCTTGTCAAAACCCACATCTTCCCTCAATCCAATTTGATCTTGTCCCATTGATCAATATAGAGAATCTTGGATTGGAAACACATTTCAAAACCAATCCAAGAAATCTATCCGGGAATCCCAACTCCATCATCATCTTCTTCAAAGTTATCCAACACATACTATTGTATGCTTGGTTCATATCCAATTTGATGGCTAAATACCCATTGCAAGCCTTTGAATGCCTTAGTTTACTGAAAATCTCTTGATCTAATAAATGATGATAAAAAATAGATCTCCCCTTCACAAAAGCCACTTGTTCTTCAGATATGATCCTTGTAATTACCAATAACATTCTATTTAAAATAACTTTGGCCACAATCTTATAAATAGAATTACATAAACTGATTAGACGAAAGTTAGGAGTTAAAGGATTAGTAGACTTTGGAATAAGCACCACAAAAGTATCTTTCCAATCTTTACTCATCTTACCTGAAGAGAAAAAATGTCTTACTGCTTTATAAACATCTTCACCAATGATCTCCCAAAACCTTTTGAAAAAGGAATGTGACAATCCATCACATCCCGGAGCTTTATTGTTCCCTAACCTCATAACAGCCTCCTTAACTTCAACCACTAAAAGCTCCCTTCTCAACAACATCTTGTCCTCTTCTTCCAAAACCATCCACGGTTCTGGCTAGTTCTCCAAACTGCAGTATCTATCCATCCATTTATCTTGAAAGAATCTGAAAAAAATTTCTTCCACTTCTCTAGGATTTCAGTGAGCAAGCCATCAGAATTCTTCACTTGAGAGAACCAATTAGCATTCCTCCTAGCATTGGCAAAGACATGAAAAAATTGTGTTAGAGTCCCCTTCAACCACCCACTTCACTTTTGCTCTTTGCTTCCACCAAGTGTTCAAGCAATTTAGAATAACTTTCAACTCTTTTACTTTAGATCTGAGCTACCATAAATTTTCTTCATCCATCCAACCATTCCTAGCTTCTTCTTTCTGAAGTAGTATTATTTCAGCCTTCAACCTCTCCTTTTCACTTGAAAAGTCTTTCAGTTTGTTCTTGCTATAGTAGAACAAATCATTTAAATTTCTCTTGTACTTCTTGTTCAGGACTTCCATGTCATCTCCAACATAGTTCTTCTTCCATCCTTTAGAAACTATGTGTGCCGCTATTTTAAAGGATAACCAAACCTCTTCAAACTTGATATACCTTCTCATTCTTATTGATACTTCAAATAGTTTCAGCACTATAGGGAAGTGGTCTGAAGCCACTCTGGCTAAGTGTCTTACCACCGCAATTTGGATATTTTGAAGAGCCATGGAATTCAACAAACAACTATCAAAACGTTTAAGAATTCTTCCACTTCCCACTTTATTATTGCACCAAGTATATCTTGGACCAACCACTCCAACATCATGATAGTCATTATCATTCATAAATTTGAACAATTCTAAGGAACCTTGAGAAAAGACAAACTTTCTCCCTCCTTTCTTGTCCTCTTGGGACAAAATGCAGTTGAAATCTCCACCAATAATAGATGGAATATTTCTATGTGATTGCTCATGAATGCAATCTCATGACAATCTCCTCTTGTGAACCTCCTTGCTCCTATAAACAGTAGCAATTATCCATATTCCTTTGTTAAAGACATTAAGATCCCCTATCACACATCGATCTGAAGTCTTTAAAACTGAAAAGGAAGCTACATCTGCTCTCCATAAAATCATAATGCCGCCAGACATTCCTTCAGAAGGAATAAAAAAATCCCAATTAGGACCCATCATCCTCTCAAAGTCAACTCTATTAAAAGAGTTGATTTTAGTTTCCACCAACCCCACCAAGAAAACCTTGTAATCATTGATAAATTCCTTCATATATAGAGAGGCTTCCTTCTTCTTTGTCCCTATACAATTCCAAAAAGCTATGGATTCCATTAATATTTTTTGGGGAGTATCCCCCATCTTTCTTCCTACTACCTCCTTCTCCAATTCTTCCACGAGCTTTAGTTTTAATGGGCCCTAAAGAACTGAGTTCTTTTGACAATTTGTATTTAGGCATGTCCTTATAAGGACAAATGTCCTTTTCAAACTTATTCTCCAAATCCTTTCAGACATCCACTTTTTTAATAGCTTTTTCATCCACCTCCAGCTCACCTTCTTCCCTATCAACCAAAGAATTTTCTTCAATAGAATCTGCATTTCCATCTTCATTAACTATTTGAACTATAGAGAACATGTTTTTCCTCTTTTGAACAACAAGAACTTCCACAGGTGAATTATTTTCTGCTGCCAATTCCGCAGATTTTCTGATTGAAACCAATGTTTCTAACTATACCACTCCCTATGATCTTTTCTATTTCTGAAGTTTGAAATCAATTTTTCGATAGGGAATACTTGAGTTCGCAAGTAATCCATTAGGACTTACTTGAGTTCGCAAGCAACCCTTCTCATCTTTGTCTTTGTCTTTAGAAATAGAAGAAGAATCAACGTTCTCCAAGTTATCAACCTCAGAGATATAATGTCCAGAGCTAATATCACTTTTGTTAAATGGTATTTCCTATTCCATTAAAATAGTTTTTTGTTCCATCTGCTCAACTTTATCTCCTTCCAGTCTAAACTCCCCCTCTTCTAATTGTTCAGCCTCATCACATAATCTTCCTGGAATTTCCTGGATAGAGACTTCACTGATACCATCATCCATAAAATTCTGAACTTCATACGCAACAATCACTGGAACAGCATATTTTTTAACATATCTGACAGTGTTTGGTTTAATCACCTTGTTGCTCTGTTTAGATCTTCTTCTTCTCTTGTTGTTTACTAGAATCCATGGACCATAAGAAGGTTCTTTCAAAACCTCTTGTTTCCTTGCCACACCATTTTCTCTACCACTTTCATTAGCAACCTCCACAACCTTAGGATTTTTTTCTTTTAGAACACATTCATTATCCATATGTCCAATCTTCCCACATACAAAGCAAACGTTAGATACCTTCTCATACTCCACATTTTGGAAGACTTCCAACCATGCTATCCACCCATACACATATTGGAAGAGGTTGATCAAGCCTAATTCTTACACATACTCTAAAAAATTCAATTCTTCCCCAATGAAACATATTACTGTCCAACATAAGTGGTTTTCCAATTCTTGAAGCAATACAAGTTACATTCTTCTCATCCCAACATTGCAAAGGTAAGTGTGGCATTCTAATCCAAATTGGAGAAGAAAGTCTCTTTATATATGTAGTAGAAAAGTTCAGAATCCACTTCTCCATATCTACTATATGCCCGTTAACAAACCAAGAACTGCTTCTACCATCTCTTCCGATGAGAATGAGCATAAGAACCATCCTTTACCCAATGTACTGAAGTGGAATTGCCCAAATTGACTCCATTGTTTCCTTATCTCCCAAGCCACCATATGGGATGATAAATCTTTCCCAAATACCTTAATAACCAATGAATTTGAAAGTTTCTTTGAGTTCATTTCTTCCAATTCATCATTTAACCTTACAGCCTTTCCATCTTCAGAAAAAACCACCTCCTCCTCTTTAAAATCCAGTTTTATATATGGTTTGTTACTCCATGGATTCACATTACCCAAGCCTACAGAGTTTTTAGGCATTCCATCAGACAGCTTATCTCCTTCCGAGTCATTCCTTCTTTCCGATACAAAATGAATATTATTGTCAACCAAATTCTGAGAATTCTCATTTATCACGATACACCTAAGTCCAGGGATTGCATTTGATTTCTCAAACCGGTTAACAAAAATTTTCATTCCAGAAGTAGATGCAGTATTATCAGAAGGAATTACAGATGATATCAATCTTTGTGGAGTAACCATATCCACAACTCCAGCTAAAGCCTTACCTTTGCCTTCCAAATGCTTGATCAACTTAGGAGATATTTTTGATACATCTGTTATCACCAATGGACCTTGCCGTTTCATCAAAGGAATTTGAATTCTCTGTCTGGAATTCAAATTCAACAGACCATTACCTTCCATAATTATCTTCGAATTACCCACAAATGACGGAGACCTCGATGATGATGATTGCCGTTGGTCTTCTACTTCTGTGTCCATAGCCTGCCCTTGCCGGTGACAGTCCGCCACCATCATCCCCCTCAGTTCCTGATAAATAGGAACAAAATTCGAGAATAAAAATTTAAATTTTTAAAACTTTCTCTCTCTAACAGGTCGAGCTTCTCTCTCTAACGGGTGGAGTTTGAGTCACTTAAAGCCTCTCTTTATTACCTTAGCAGAAGACTTCTTCCTATGGAAATCAAGTACCCTTCAATCGAGAAGCATCTTGCTTTACATTTTTGCATCCAAAAAACTTAGACACTGCTTGGTTTCTCATTCAATCAGTCTAATTTTTAGAGTCAGCCAAATGCAATATCTTATTACCAACAATACATTATTAGGATGTTTAGCATGGTGGTCTATGATACTACTTAAATTTGAAATAACTTTCATTCCCTTGCATGTTGTGAAAGGCCAGGCTATTGCTGACTTCCTTATGGAGCACCTGTTGCTGACAAATTCTCCTTTAAATGATGATTTACCCTATGAATAGATCATGAAATTAATAAATCCGATGACCTTGTCTAAGAATTATATTTTGATGGTTCGACATCCTCTCAATGGGGCAAACCCCAACAATCTACAATCCCCAAAAAAGGTGGAATTGGCCTCATTTTCATAACACCATAAAAGAGAATGATGCATTTTTCTTACAATTTGTTAATGCCTTACACAAATAATGAGGATGAATATAAAGCTTTGATAACTAGCCTGGAACTTGCAATCCTAATAGAGATTAAATAGATTAAAATATTTAGTCATTCTTAGTTGGTGATCAACTAGATTACAGTAACCTATAAGGTTTTGAATCCTAAACTCTTCAAATATCACCAGTACACTGGTTACCTGCTTAAGAAAATCCATATTATACTTTGTGTAGGGTTCTCCATGGGAGTAATTCTATAGTAGATGCCTTAGAAAAGCTTGTAAAAGGATTTGTGTGCCTAGAAGAAGACTACATTCCTATAGAGATTCTAGGTCATCAAGTCCTCTCTCCTATAGATTATGAACACATAAATAATCAGTCTCCCCATATCCTTTCTTCTTTCACAAAAATTGATGAAGAAAGAGACTAGAGATGACCATTAATTAATTACCTTCGGGAGGTTAAACTTCCTCAGAACAAATCCCTCACCAACTAGATAAAGAAACATGCCGTCTCATGTGTACTAGTTAACAATATGTTATACCACTGATCATTCGATCAGATATGGCTATGTTGTTTAGATAAATGAGAGGGCCTGAAGATTATTAAAAAGGTACACTATAGACTATGCGGTGCTTATAAATCAGGTCTAAAAATGCAGTTGAAAATTGAAAGACATAGAAACTACTAGCTGATGATGATTCACGATTGCATGAACACTGCAAAACATTATCATCAGTGCTAGGCCATGGTGTGGCCTTACATTGGCCATCTAATGTGTTGCATCCTACGATAGCTTTGTGGCCCTTTGAAAGTTAACACACAAACGTTATCAGGCCAATTTACCCTCCTTCTTTCATGGGTCATTGCTTCATATTAGTTACGACTGATTACTTTTCAAAGCTGGAAAAAATAATTCCCCTCTCTAATGTAACATAATACCTTATTTTAAAGTTCTTTCATTAGTTATCATGTATCAATATGGTATACCATACAAAATTATATTAGATAATTAGTCTGCATTCAAGTCCATAAAAATAAATTATTTTCTAAGATGTCATAACAATGATTGGAGATACTCAACAATCTATTATACTCGGGCTAATGGGTTAGTTGAGGCCTTCAATAAGACTTTGGTGTAGGTTATCAAAAAGACCCTCTATAATAACAAATGCTAATGGGATGGGAGGTTGGTAGAAGCCTTAGGGCTTATCAAACCAATTATAGGACCATGACCCAATCCACCCCATTTGCACTAGTGTATGGGTCTGATATCATACTCCATCTAGAGGTGCAGATTCCTTCACTTAATGTAGAAATCAAGAACAAAATCTTGACTAAATGGAATTCACAACTTTGGGTAGAAGAACTTGAATGCCTTGAAGAGCTTCGCCTCTAAGATCAACAGGGTCTATAGTTGTATAAGGCCTGAATGGTTCAAGCACAAGATAAGTTAGTGCAACCTAGAACCTTCCAAGTATGAGACTTAGTCTTGGTTTTTCAAAGGCCTATCTTAGCTCACCCAAAAAATGGGGGGAAGTTTGAACTGACATGCGAAGGACCCTTCGTTGTGGAGATACTATACAAAACGGGGCCCATATCAGCTAGTGGATTGTAAAAAAAATCACCCAACATTATCGGTTAATGAGTGTTTTCTTAAGGAATACTATGTTTGAAGTAGCTCAAATTCTCAATTAATGA